CCAGGCACTTGTACTTCTTCTTCAGAGGTATTACACCTTGCACCAAGACATGCTCGGCTTCACATTACAGAGTTCATATACAGTATTTATGGGACTGCAAAAGAATGACCCATTGGGAGCTTTCCATGTGGATGGTGGCCATTAAATTAATGCAACAGTGGGGAAGGTATGGGGTTGGGTTTTTTTCTTTTACAAAATAACAAAAAGTACCAATAAGAGTACCTTTAAGGTTCTGCATCGATAAGCAGTACCAACAAAAAATGTTTTAAAAATCATTTAAATCTTCCCATTGATCTGTTGCAGAAAGGGTGCCCGCACCTTGGCTCAGCAGATAATTCGTAGGCTGGTAAATTTCTTCCTTTGACATGATCCTAATGCAAACAATAATGTATATGATCCAGAAGTGTGTTGTTGTAACCCAGGTACATTGCGACTCCTTTGTAATTTGGCAAGATCTGTGCTGTTTTTGTTTGTTTGTTTTGTTAATGCAAAATTCAATAAAACATTATAAAAAATAAATAAATTTATAAAATCATTTATATCTTAAAAGATAACCATCCCTATATGCAGGTGTGTCATCTTGGGCAACTTGCCGGTTCAGAGAGTTTCTATATATAGTGGAGAGGCACCATGCCCTGTTTGGCTGCTATCCAATACTCAGATTATCTTTTAACTTATTGTGTATAACCAGAAAAAAGACACAGACAACACTTTTTGTTTTGAAGTGCCCCCCCCCCCCTTTCTTTTTTTTCTTAAGTTCAATAAATGCGTTTTGTTCCCAAAGTCAATGAGTAATCATGTTAAATAATCATGATCTCAATATTGATCAAAATAATCATGATTATCATTTTTGCTATAACCGAGCAGCCCTGGTAACAGTATAATATGTGTATTAGCACTCAAGCGCTGGGAAACATTGTTAAAATGTCTTAAAACAGAGTGATTTATTTAAGCATTTTTGGCTGGACCGCCAGCCCTATGATTTCGTATGTATGCAAGTATGTATGAAATGTAATGTTATGTATGTAATGTACAAAATGTTATATATGTAATGTATGTTATGTAATGCATGTCAATTTTATAGTAAACAGGTTCTATTAGGTGGTGTTTACAGCTTGCAGTGTTGCCAACTTAGCTCATTGATGCTAGATTTAGAGACTTTTTTTCAAACAAACTGGGTATAAAATTGGTACACGACTGGACCGTGTATGGATGCCGGCCAAGGGATTAGGGCTACACCTTTTGTATTGGGCAGTCTACCGCACCGCTCTGGATTTCCCGGCTGCTCAGGAACCGCAGGCAAGTGGAGGAGTGCTTCCAATACACTGAGCCTCACCTCCATTCCGGCAAATAAACTACTTAAATTACATGTATTATATTTTCATTATTATTATTATTAAAGGAGACAGAGGAATAACTAAAAATAAGATAGCAGGAGAGAGGAAGGGAGAGAGAGAATGAGAAAATACGCTTACTGCAGCACAGCAATAAAAGCCATGTTAAGAAATAAAGGGTTTCTGCCCACTGAAACGCTAGAGGGCTATACATTTGAAATGAGTACAGGAAGTGTTGCGTTTGTATTAACACATAATGCAGTAACTCTAACACAACAAATGGGAGCGACTTAAAATGGGGCTCTGTACTAAAATATCGCTATGACCAATTACTCATATCAAAAAGAGGGAGTTAGACATAAACACCTGCCTCCAGTAAAGTCTGTTAGGTTCTGGAGTTGAGGTAAATGAAGGCTAAACTGGATCCCAGACAGAGGCTGTGAGCTGTGCGACAGACCAAAAATAAAGTCTGTCTCTTCTACGTTTCTCTCCGAGTAAGGTAGTCTTTGTCTTTAATTTATGTGTTTGGTGATTTCTTCAGACAACGTCACATTTGACCACAGGTGATCCAGACATATATTAGGTTTTGACCTAGTCTTGTTTAAATTCTGCATCCATTTATTGGCTGCGTAGAGAACACAGCTCCCAGCAAATACCCATATGTCTGCTCAGAGAGCTACTTTTCAATTTTTGTTTGAATGAATGACAACTTTTCCTTCAGTCTGTTATTTTATCACTACGAGTTCTGAACTTGTCTTCACCGTGAACTAATAAGATCCTAACTTGAGTGTGAAAAGCTGTCCAAGCCTGTTAAAAGGTGGGCACAGTGCAACCGAAGGGATCGTGACTGCCCGTTGGCACACATGCAAAAACAAGCACCCTCACTCCCTGCCTCCCTCAGGAAATAAATATTGCTCCCAGTCATACTGTGGTAGAATGAAAATGACAATGCCTGAACATGAACATTCAGGCATCAGACCAACACGACTGAATGAGCATAGCGGAAAGATTGTTTTAATTATCCGTGTTCTAATCATCATTCAGCTAGAGAGACTGGAAGCAGACACATTAAAGACTGTGACTGTGGGTTTTGAGTTGCGCTGTCCACCGTTGCACAAGTATGAGGTTGCAAGAGGGTGACGTTTGCCATCTTTCAGTCAGATTAGACAATCTGCTACCTTAAGACTTGCAGAGGTGCTGATATGAAGGCTTCTCCTCTTACTTCACAGCATGCCAAATTGAAATAATGCTTTATTCCTCTTTCTCGAGAGTGGGTGTGAATACAAATAGGTCAGGAGCCAACTACCCCCACCCCTTTATCAGAGCAGGCAGCAACAGCAGCAGAGACGGCGTGACCGTGACGTGGTGGGAGAGCGTACTGCCACCAAGCCTAGAGCTGCCTTTCAGAATGAACACACAACTCACAGCACAGCTTCTTGTTCATCTTCCTCCTCCCCCGCTGTTTTCACCCCTCTAGCCCTCTCGCAGACAACACTGCTGAATGAGAAGGGTGAGAAGAGGAAAACGGAAACAAAAAAGGAAAGAGAGGCACATGGGGGGAGGGAAGTTAACAGTAGAAAATGCAAATCAGAGGAAGGAGACGAGCAAGAGGAAACAAGCATCAGCTCGGAAATTAGAGGAGCTGGACAGAGAAATGTAAGGCTTATGCATCATCCAGAGATTAACCCTATCTATCCACCGCTGCTTTGATATTCACAATATGACAAGAAAGGACAGCGAAAGGACCCTGGCTGAGTGTCAGATACAGACATTCTCCTCCCTTAGACCAGAGGCAGCGTCAGCGCAGCACCGTTAGCATCAAGCCTCCGGGGACAATGCGCCAAGGCAGACAGAGAGACTGCAACACTGGAGCTCTACCACATGTTCTGCCGATGCACACAAACAAAGTGGTGCATGCATTTGCTAGATAGCTGCGAGTTACTGGATGAGGATTTAATTTCCATTAATAAACCAAGGAAGACCACCATTTCTTTTACCTTCTGAATAAAAGAAGAGGTTGATTTGTCACACGTTAAGGAAGGAATTAATGAGGATCCAACTCGTCAAGCTAAAGCTGTATGTTATTGTTATTCGGCTTGGAGCACAGACCGGAGACCAAGAGGGCGATCAGTGTGTGAAGATTGCAATTCATCACATCCAGGAATGGTGGATACCAGAAAGAGACAGGTATTTAGATTAAAGGTTAAGTTTATGTTGTGAAGTCTTAATCTTAATCAGTTTTTATGTTTTGTCAGTTTTACCACACAGGATGTGAAGGGTGTGCCCATTTTTAAAGGAAACACTTGTTTCCATTTCTGTTGATATATGTGAAAGCGCCAACGTAAGTCTTTTCAGTGGGTCTGTGAGCTCTCACAAACTGCTCTTTGTCTTGTTAGGGTCCTTTAAGACGGTAGTGTGCAATTCAGTAAAAAACAGAGAACACACTCCACTTGAGGGTGCTAGCAGCATGCAAACATAGGCTGTTCTTTCTATAACCATTCCTCATCTGGATTCTTTTCAAAAGCAAGGGAATGTAGAGTTGTGAAAGCAGAACATAATTCTGTTCATTCTTGCTCTGAAAGCAACAAGATAAGAAATAACTTTAACCAAACAATTGAAGATTATGTGTCCAAAGTCAAGTTTGAGTATGTAATCAGTGAAATGTGAAAGTACATAAAGTCTAGAAAAAAATATACAGAGGTTATTATGTTAGCCAGCTGTTCAAAATCGTGCACCTTTTATGAATTTTCATGCACAGTCATTTATAAAGTGACTCTGATACAGAATAGTCTGTTGACTTGTCATGATTAACTGCAGTTAGTATTCCAACATCATGATGTTAGTCATCTGTTGAGCCACAAGAGAGCAGTCCATGAATTTATCAAACCAGGAAAGAACTATTATACTATTGATAAAATATTGAATCTAAAATGTTGATTAGCTGGGCATACTGGACAATATGGATGCACATCTCAGTAAATAATAACCATCATGTATTCAGCCACGACATATAAAATACTATTTATACTATGTATGTATGAATAATAAAGCTGCAGCCATAGCCTATAGGCTTATGCACATTGTATAGCCAAAGCTACATCAGGGGTGATTGTATGGCAAAATGCTGTGCGGGATTACTTTTTTTTTTGGATCAGGAATTGTTAAAGGAATCGATAAACAATCGGACCGATAAGCAGAATCGATAATGGAAGTTACAGTCAATCACTAATAACTGATATCAATAAAATGTTATCACTTCCCCTCCCCAGTTCAGCAGGAGTCATGTTTCTGGCCACCCGCTGAATCTAAGTCCAATATTCACTCTCTGTTTACCTCTTGCAGCCCACCAACTGCTGCTAAATGTTCACCAGCTCTTCCACAACTTTGTTTGACTTTTGTATGGCAACCAGGTGCTAATTCTGTGTGTTCGTCACACATCTTTCACATGCATGCAGATATTCCAGCCATTGCTAATATCAAATATTGATTATAGTAGCTTTAATGTGACTATGTGACATAATGTATTTATTTTATTGCTGAATTACATCCTCTTTTCTCCTCTGTTTCCTAGGAAATCACTATTTCCGAGTATTTTCAAAGTGATTTACATATATGGAAATGAGATATCAACACAGGGTAAAAGTCCCTTAGTCAACCCACCACATAAACTTCACTTTGAATCCAGGGATCAAGACCTGGTCAAAAGCTGCTGACAAGTGGCCTTATGAGTGTAGCAACTGTCTGAGTGAATTACTGCAAGCACAACCATGCAGTGGAGACGACGGCACTGCTGTACACACACAGCTAAACTTCTCTATCTCCTCTCACTGTTGGGTGTACTGGTTTTTCTGGTTCACCAGGTGTGGCTGCCAAGGTTCACAGGTATGCCATGGTGGAGAAGCCATCCAGTGGTGTATGGAGGTGGTGGACTTCATACCACTAAAGCCAAACTGAACACGAGCTCCCAACATTCAATGTGGAGGTTTGTCATTGTTCCTCAGCCGACTTTCAGGGCTGATGCTAACAGCTCCCACGAAAAAGATGGTGTCGCCTCTCCTCAAGCAGACCCAAGCTTTGGAAACAATGTGGCAACCAACACAAGCCAAAGTGAGGAGGGAGACGTTAGTGGCACAATAACTCACGGGCCTTTCCCTTATATCATCAATGAGCCAGACAAATGTGTAGAGAGCAGACCCGTGCCATTTCTGGTGATGCTGATAGCCACCGAGGCTCGGAAGGTGGAGGCAAGGAATGCCATACGTCAGACATGGGGGAATGAGAGTGTTGCCCTGGCTCTGGGATTCATCCGGCTCTTCATGCTTGGGAAAAATGAGGGAGAGCTAGGACTATTACAACAAAGGATGCTAGAAGCAGAGAGCCAAAGGCATCATGACATCATTCAGCAGGACTTTCTGGATTCCTACAAAAACCTGACCATAAAGACGCTGATGGGAATGAACTGGGTGGCAATGCACTGCCCACGGGCCAGCTACGTCATGAAGACGGACAGCGACATGTTTGTCAACACAGAGTACCTCATTTATAAGCTACTCAGGCCAGAACAGAAGCCCAAGAAGAACTACTTCACAGGCAATAACATGAGAGGCTTTGCACCCAACAGAAATAAAAACAGCAAGTGGTACATGCCCCCAGAGTTGTACCCAAGTGAGAAGTATCCAACCTTCTGCTCTGGGACTGGTTATGTCTTCTCTGGAGACTTGGCGAGGAAAATTTACAGAGCATCTCTAAGTATCCGCCACCTGCATCTGGAAGATGTGTATGTGGGAATATGCCTGGCCAAGCTCCGGATCGAGCCCACGCCACCACCCAACGAGTTCCTATTCAACCACTGGCGAGTGTCTTACTCCAGCTGCAAGTACAGCCATCTGATAACCTCGCATGGGTTTCATCCCAATGAACTACTTAAATATTGGCATCACCTGCAAAGCACCAAACGCAGTGCCTGCATAAACACATTTAAAGACAGAGTAGGCAGGGCGCACTCAAACAGAATGAATGGAAGGAGACAAGCTTAATAACTGAAGCTTTTACACTCACAAACTCTATATGAGGTACAAACCATTTTTATCTCAGCACATTCTCTTCTCAACTTGATATGAAGGGATTAATCCACACTTTTTCCGTATGGGAACTCAATACAAACACTGCATAAATGTGTAAAAATCGATGGAAGTTCTCCAATATTATTGCCAATTTTGTACAAAAGAGATGAAAACTGTTTCTATGTCTGAGTCAAACCACTGGAGGGTTTATGTGCACAGTTCTATTTTACAAAAGAATAAGCAGCGTGTCCACAAAAGTGACTTTTTTGTAATTATGTAAGTTCTATTATACAGCGGGGACCCTACTGTATGTCTTTTATATATGCGGATACAAACTCAAAACCTGAGTTGACAAGGTACAGTGCCAACACACATGTCAACATGTGTATCAAATAGTCAGGGAAGTCATTTTAAAAGAGGTTAGTTTCAACATGAAGTCAATGGTAACAGACTGAGATTGTGGCAGATTGACAACAAATGTGGGACCAGCCACTTGTTATGTAGCAAATGAGCCAAATATGATACAACACGTTTTTTTGGTAATTGCAATTGAAAAAGCACATTTGAGGACTTAATGAAGCACAACAGTTTCCCGTTACTTGAGTGAGGTGCTGTTGTGACATAATTGTAAATGATGACGCCCCTCCAAAGACAATCTCTAAAAGTCATTATGGAAAAATCTTTCCTGTCTGTGATTTACGCTGATTCTCTTTGACGTGGTCAAATAGAATTAGAAAGACCAGCATCTTTTGTTTATAGTTTACATATTTTAAATCACTCTTACTGATCTGCTTGAGAATCAAAAGCACATGAGAGCATGCCATTTGACTGATGCTGTGAGCTACGACACAGCAATAATCACAGAGATCATATCTTATACAAATGTGTTTTTACTGTCTAAAAACACAGAGGCTTCAGTAAATAAGTCACACTGCAGCTATGTTTAGCAGCCGTTCCAGCAAATACCAATCATTAAAAAAAGACTCTTTCCGGATGTGTGCAAAGTGAAGTTCATGCATGTAGTGCAGCTCTTTGTTAAGTCTTCAGCAAAACAAGAAGCTCTATTCTTACCGTCACTGACTTCAGGGTCATGCCGTGGTAGGTGCCCATGGTATCGATCTTGAAACCCTCCGTTTCTAAGAAAACAACGTACAATGAGTTGCAGATTGTTGGCAGAACAAATTATTCATTTTCAAAAGCATAATTGTACTAAAATATCCAAATATTATGCAACACATATGTACCTCTTCATTCTCAACCTTATCTCTATAGATTTTTCATTGTAGTTCATCCCTATACATGTGCTGAAAACTACAACTCAACCCAGTCTGCTGTGCTTCAGTGATGCACCTGTAGGCTGGTTTTAGGACTCACATTAATCAGTAGACACGAAGAAGCTGAAATATTGAATTCATCATCATCACCCAACCATCCACAGATGGTCAATGCTCGAAATCGAAAAATCTATTTTCCTTAACACACAGATTGATACTACATATCTGGCACTTTCAACATAAATATTGAATATCATATAGTTGAAATCATTAATTGAAAAAAAAAAAAATCCCTACTTTTTTTTGATCAGACAAGGAACTTTCAAAATCATTTGACTTTATGTCTATTATTTATAGTAGACCTAAGTGCTCCTGAATCTCTCTTATTGCATTATTCCTTCATTCCTCCTTAATGTGCATTTGTTTTTCACCATCATCTGATTGTAACTGTAATATTGCATTGATCTTTATTATGTGGAAATTAATCCAACAACACATCTGGGCTCTTAAAAGACATGTATTTGCACAAGGTGTAGGATGTCCATGTTAACTGAGCCTGTTCCTGCAAACTGATGCTGTCTTAATGGGCACATACTACAAATGTATGTATTGGGATGGAACCATTGAATACTTTTCTTGACTGAAAATGATAAACTAAGAGTAAAATGATACTATGAAACCGTATGAAGTTTTTTCGCTGTTTTGCTTGAATCAGCAGGTGTAGGATTTCATGGGGAACTTGAAGCAGCTCCAAAGGCCAATGATGGTTAATTGCAGAAATGATACTTAACAAGTTCTCACTACTTGGTGTAGCATAAAAAGTGTGCCAAAAAATGAACAATAATACTATTCAGCAATGTTACAGAATTAGACTATTTGTGGTGTGGCTGTCTGGGAGAAGGGGGCTTTTGTACTCTTATTAAATAATACCATATATATGATGCTCCACTGCAAATACTTTAACTGCCAAGTACTGTGAGAAATAACTGAACAGACAGACAGACAGACAGACAGACAGACAGACAGACAGACAGACAGACAGACAGACAGACAGACAGACAGACAGACAGACAGACAGAGAGAGAGAGAGGCGTGTAGGGGCTGAGTGAATCAATTTTCTGTGCACAGTTCCATAATTAAATAAGATTTTACGCATTTGAAACAAAAAACTCAATGTGTTGGTCAATGTCAATATTCAATGTATGGGAAATACTGTAAAGTATAAAAAAAAATTGTAATGATGGAAATGTAAATCTAATTCAATACACAATGATTAGGACTTTTTCTTTGACAGTATTATTACTGTGCAGTAAATTACCTGTAGCCCCCAAATCACTAAATCCACCCCTGCTCTGCGAAATTTGAAAATGAAGAAATGGAGTGTGGAATGTGTGTATGTAACAATAACAAATTTAATTTCTCCAGTACCAAGAGCTGAACCAATAACATCGGAGCTTATCAATACTATGGTCTTTAAAGATTCAGCCCTGAGGCCTGTTTAAAACCAGGTTTCAGTACCTATCCCCACTACAGAAATACAAATAAAACTCACCCTCTTTTCCTTTGAATCGCTCCTGATCGTATCTGTTGTAGGCAGCTGGGACCGGCTGCTTGTTCCTTAAGGACGGATCCTGGAAATTGTATGAAACACAAACAAATAATTACAGTACATGCCTGTCAATACATTCTTTAGTCAAATTCTTACTCGTCATTTATAGGCTTACTGATGCGTTCATGGATTAAATAACTACTAACCTTTTCTACATATCCTTAATTTCAAGCTTGATTTTAAAAAAGGACAAAATTGTCCGGCTTGTCAAAGTGTAACGCTATTACACATACATATTTATATTGTCTGGCCAAATTTTAAGTTCCCTGAAGATTTCATGAAACTGTTGCATGTGTGCAAGATGCATATGTAAAGCACAGTAAATGTCATTCTTACCACTTGAGTAGTGTTCTGTGCTGGTCTCTGCTCTGGTGCTCGCCCTTCTTCCCTGGCTTTTACTGACTGAAGAATGGCAAAGATGTTCTTGGAGAAGTTCTGTAAAGGAGTAATTTGGAAATGTATAAAATTAGTTAAAGCCACTCACACACACAAATATATATACACACACATATATATATATAGCTTTTCTCATCATTTGGTGTTTCAGGATCTGATGATAAAGTGATAAAGACTTTGATCTAAACAGAAGAATCACACAAAACTTTCCTTTACAGGAACTGTTGTGAGAATAAATATGAAGTTGTCAGCTTTTTCGACATAAGGTCCTACGGTCCATCAGCCTCAACTCAAAACCAGTGTAGATTAATTTCCAAGACAAATGTGAGGTGATTTAGATGTAGTGAACTGTATTAACTAATTTCTAAAGTGTTGACTCATCTGGCAACATAAATTCAGGTCATCTGCAGGGCCGCCACCGTGGTTTAGACGCTGAGCATATCATGCAACATCTCCGGAATAAGTCTTTTCTCTTTTCAAATCTGTCTTAAAATAACAGACGGGTTTTTCTTGCTGTAATCATTCGTCATTCCTGTCTTCCAAAGCTACAGTCCATTTAGTATAAAATTCTCTCTCTGTTTGTCTTTCCACTGCAGCTGAAAGGGGAAACACTGACTGTGGAAACAAAAAGAGGGAATTGTATACTACACTGCAGAAAACACTAACTTTGGAAGATATCCACTTAATTTGACTTAAGACTGATAAAGGCTGATATTAGCTTCAGATAAGCTTTGGGACACAGTTTTGCACAAAACAAGGACTGTGAATTAGATCCCCAATCACTGAGATTGTAAGAACAATTGAAAGAGATTTTTAATGGCTGGTACAGGAGGAAGGATTACAGTTTTAATGTTCATAAAGGCACTTGACTAGTGTCTTAGAACAAGACTTCTTTTCCGTGTTCACACTACAACACCAGCTTAAACCTTTAGGATTCTGACTTTCTGGAGAAACTTTCCAAAAACACACACAGTTTGCATATGAGAAATGGCCAGCCCAAAAGAATGAACGACCAAAACAAAGGGGAAAAGATACTTTTTTAAATTTCACCAGACTGGTAAGGATATTACATCTTGTAAGCAATTCATATTCTGCCAGAATAATTACATTAGGCATACTGCCAATGAGCATTCAAGCCAATGAACAAGTCCTTCTGTAGCTGATAAAAAAAAAAAAAAAAAAAAAAACATATTTTGAGGGTAAATTCACCCTTGATGGAAACCATACTATTGCTGCCATCTGGTGGTTGTAATTGCCATCTAGTGTCACACTTGGAGTATTTTCAAGGTGGGAAGATTTGTGTCCCTGAGAGTTCAGCAGGAAATTCAGCAACATCCAGGAAAGTGGTATCGAGTACAGTTCCAAATGGTGGTCTGAAACTTTCGAGTGAAATCCATTCAGTCTGCACTAAGAAGTTCACAATTGCTCTCATCAAAAAATGTGTATCTGGTGAAAGTCTACATCTGTATGAACCTGAACCAAAATGACTGAATAAACAAACCTGGATATGGACTATTTGGGACAAATCAGAAAACATCATCAACCCAAAGCCAAAAGTTATGCAACATTGCAGTGCATTGCATCATCACTGTTGTGTGTGATCAGAGGTGCAACAGAGCAGACACTTTCAACTTACAGGAGTTAGTGCAACAATACTTTCCTCATATAAAGTATTATGCGCTGACTTGCTCATTAAATCTCATTATGATATGGGGAATGGCCCATTCAGGTGAAGTGTCAAGGTCTAATACTGAACCACTGCAGGTCAAAACATAAGAAAATCCACAAGTGCTAATTTGAAACAGGTGTATTTGAAGGAACAGCCTAACATTTTGGGAAATAAACTTATCCACTATCACATGAGAAAGAAAACTTGTCTGCGTGAAAGATCTCTGTGAATGGATATCATTACTATGAAGTGGACTCTGACCTTTCCAGTGCTCTGGAGAATGGTTGTCCTGGTCCTCCAGACCCTCTCTCTGCTGACAATATCTCTGGTGACATCCACCTCTGCATCCACAAAGCTTCTCTGCTTCAGGGTTATGTCATCATCCAGATCTGTTTTGATGGTGGAACGTTTCTTGGCCATAATCTTGGCTTTGATGGCTGCGATTTTCTCCACCGACATGGCCTCGGAAAGGGATCTGGAGGAGGAGGAGGAGGAGTTTTGGATCATTTAAGTAGCTCAAGGAACTATAGGTATTAATGTGCAGTGAAATAATGACATCAGTATTGATCGCCTCACACTGGCAATACGGTATGTTGACGAATCCAAACGAATCCTGGCGGTGTAACAATCTACAGGGAGCACATTATATATACGTATAAACGTTAGTTTGGGGAGGGTCCATTTTACCTGATCTGGTCGGTCTGCACGATGCCCTCTTTGTGGCCCTCCAGACGAGCAGCCAGACGCTCTTTGTCCAGACGCACTCGTTCCTCATCCTTAAAATGAAAGCAGTGTAAACACTAATTAGCAAACTACAGAATAAGACAAGTTTTGTAACTACAACAAAATGTACTTCATTTATGACTAAATGTACATACAGACTGTATTTTGGTTAAATATATACACTGTTTCTCAAATAAAAGCAGATGGAAAATGCTAAATTCTTTAAGCCATGTTTAAATGAAATTTCATTTAATTAAAGTTTAACAACCATCTAAAATAAAGTTGTTCTGATTGTTCATACTGTTATGAGTATTTTGGCAATTTGAATGCTTCAGACAAAAACAGTCACCTAGCAGGTATCAATGCTAATAATCAATACTGTGTGATGATGTAC